GAATTTGAATAATGTCCAAAATAATGACAACCAAAGATGGACAAGGGTCCAAAGGATTTATGGCAAACCCTTTTCTGCATGCACTCTGAAATTTGACCACTGGAACTTGGGTGACATTATCAAAGTTGTAGTCATCAGATATAATTTCCTCAGATATTATGGTTGGCCTTTCTTTTTGGACTCTAGGAATTTCAACTTGGAACTCAATACTAAAACTCAGACAACCACCAAAGGCACTCTGTCAAATGTTTAGATCTTCAAGACAATGTCCTTAAGAGTGATAACTGCCACAAGAAAGCAAACATATTTGATTATTACAGATACCTTATTTATATTTATTCAGAGATTTACACCAAATAGGTAGCATTGGGCTTCCATTCAATTCACTACTATTAACCTGTTGTGTTTGTTCTGACTTGGCTGTTTTTGCAGGTCTAACCTCATTTCTAACTCCTCTTTGAAGAGGGGAAGAAAGATGGATTATTTCTTCTTAAGTATCTAGGAGTGGTGGTCTACCTTTGAGGTAGATTGATCAGACTGAATAATTTAATATCTAAAAAGCTTTTTTCAAAAGCAGAAAATGACGTTATTGGTTGAATTTTTTTGTGGAGCATGGTGTAGGCATTTGGAACATTTTACAAGGCTCCAGGAGAACAAGACACTGATCTGTACATCTGCCAACACTGGCTACTCCCAGATCAGTACAAATGGGGAAATTAGCCACACTGATTCAAACACTTCAAAGATCACTGCTATTTCTCTGTCAGTGACACTATGAAAAGATATCATATCTGCCATCTGCCCTACTATGCTTGTCAGTTCTTACTTGAAACGTTTGTTGCCTTCATTCTCTTAGATTAAATCCTTCTTTGGGGACTTTTAAACAGAAGCTGGATGTCCATCTGTCAGGGTACTTTGAATGTGCTTTTCTTGCATGGCAGGGAGTTGAACTAGATGGCTAATGCAATCTCTTCCAACTCTATTATTTTATGATTCTATTAATTCAAACCTCTTGTCCTTTCAGGTTATGTTCCATACAACAGTTCACAAATTTGTGTTTTTATTATAATTATAATTATATTGTTGTTGTTCTTATTGTTATCATTATTATTATTAGAATATATACTGCCTTTCTCCCAAAATGAGATTCAAAGTGCTTATGATAATTTTAGAAAGTTCCAGATAAAACACTAATTCGTTAAAAAGAATTTAAAATCAGTATGACTAAAAACATGATTAAAGTCAGTGAAAAACATTTTAAACATAATTTCAGTAAAAGTTATTTTTAAAAATCAAACACACTACTTTGTACACAAACTACAGCTTCATAATTAAAATTCAAAGGCCTAAATAAAAATACTTGGACTAAATAAAAACATGTTCGCCTGCCACTGGAAAAAAGAGCAGGGAGGCAGCCATGGAGAATGCTCTCCCTCAAGTCTTCACCAACTGCACCCACAAAAATAGTATGACAAAGAGAAAACCTTTCCCAGGCAGATCTTACACTTTGTGATTGTGTCTTTAATAAATAAGTGGACCTTCAAATATTGTTGGGCTGGAATTTCCATCATCCCTCATCACTAAACTGGCTGGAGTTGTTGAAAACTGTATTCCAACATCATATAGAAAAGCAAAAAATACCAAGAGTAAGTAAAAAAAAAACCCCTGTTAATTGCAAAAGAAATGAAAGGAGGATGGGATGGGGTTGTCCAAGTCTAGAGCTTTATAGTGATGCCTTCCAAATCTAAAGACTAATAGAATTACAAGTGACAAATAAAAATGGATAAGATTTGAGAAGGAAATTAATTGAGTTGATTGTGAAGAAATAATCTTCAGAAAATGGGATAAAGGTAATATTGATAAAACTAACAGGACCAATGAAAGGAAGAATGCAAGTCTGGAAGAAGTGGCAAGGGAGAACAGGCAGTTTAAAATCTAAAATGGCAAGAGTATGGTCAATTTTAAAAAAGAGAAAGAATCAAATGTGAATAGAAATATCCAGGCATTGAAGGAAAAAAGAATAGACAAATTAGAACAATTACGCAATAGTGAAGAAAGGGTAAGGGAGAACAGAATTAAACAATGGCTTGGACAGAAAAATTAGATACAGATTAGAGCAATTTGTACATATCTCAATACTAAAGAAAATATTAATAAGGTTAAAAGAGAAGAAACTACATTTGAAAAGATAATGAGAGAAAAGGTGGAAGGAAATAAGGCACAAGACAGTAAAATATATACAATTCTAATAGAGGTTGACGGGTGTACAATACAGAACTTGAAAAGTATGTGGGAAATGGAGTTACAAATTACAGAATAAGATAAGAGACAAGTGGTAGAGATAATAGGAAATATAAGGAATACAAAAGTAAGAGAAATGAGGAGAAAAATATTACATAAGTGGTATCGTACACCCTGTCAATTAGATTATTATTATAAAAAGGGAAGCAGTCAGTGCTGGCATGGATGCCACCAGAAAGGGTGCTTTATGCACTTGATGTGGGAATGTGAGCAGGTACAATACTTCTGTCAGACCATACAAAATGTGTCAAACCAAATATTACGAATCGATTGGGTGATAACAAAAGAAATGGCGGTCTTAATACAGGGCAATAATTGAGTACACACAAGCAGTGATAGTATTGGGATAGAAAGACAAACCAAATGGACAGTAAATAAATGGTATCAGTATATGGTGGACCAAATGGAATTTGAAATTATGGATGTAAAATTAAATTATTCAAAAAGTATTGATAATAGAAAGATGGGACCAGGTCAAGAGTTATATTATGAATAAGTCTAGACATCAGGGCACAAGAAATAGGATACAAATGTTTTCTATTTATTTATTTATTTATTTATGAAATTTATATGCTGCCCTTCTCACCCCAAAGGGGACTCAGAGCGGCTTACAAGATATATATACATACAATATATTATATTATTAGCATAGTACAATATCAGTATTATATATTACTTTATTGTACTATACCATTATACTGTAATATTATTAGTAATATTGCATGTAATATAAAATATATAATTATAATATCATATTATTATTATTATTATATTGTATTACATTATAATATTGGAAATATTATATGTATATACAATATATTATATTACATTGCATTATATTATATTATTATATTATTAGCATAGCACAGGAAACAAGGTGCCCCCCCCCCTTCACCCTGGCCCAGAGCAGCAGTTGGTGTCGGGGGGAGGGGTCCCCAACTGATGACATATGCAGGAGATAAGATGGATAGTATGTAAATCTATAAGGATTGCCTCAAAAAGGATTAATATGTAAAAGAAAATAGTCCTCGTGGTGGTGGGAATTGTAAATGTTGTGTATGTGTATGTCCTAAATTTAAAAAAAAAGAGAGATGGGGGGGAGAAGCACAAGTTAGGTGGCCCAAGCTACCTATCTGACCGCATCTCTGCCTATGAACCCACCAGGAGTTTGAGATCTTCCGGGGAGACCCTGCTCTCGATCCCGCCTGCTTCTCAAGCTCGGCTGGCGGGGACGAGAGATAGGGCCTTCTCGGTGGTGGCTCCTCGGCTGTGGAACGCCCTTCCTACGGACATTAGACTAGCACCATCTCTAATGGTATTCCGCAAAAAGGTGAAGACCTGGATGTTTGTGCAGGCGTTTGAGTAATTTAGTGCAATCTGGTAATGGAACATAGGAATGGAACAATGGACGACGAACCTGGACTACGCTTGGATGATGAGAAGATTGGGTACGGTTGTTTTTTGTAATAATTGTGCATTGTAATTGCTTATTGGTAATTTATGGATAATATGTTAAGTCAATTGTTATATGTTGTATGGAACCACTGCTGTTTCTACTGTTTCTACTGTTTGTGAACCGCTGTGAGTCGCCTTCGGGCTTGAGATACAGCGGTATATAAGCAAAGTAAATAAATAAATAATAAATAAATAAGTTTTTCCAATTTATAGCCTGGTTCATTAGAGTTGTTGTTCTTTATATCATATTGTGGTAGACGTCCCTTGCCACCAATTACTGGCTATAGCTCAATGTAAAACATTTCAGAACAATATTTATTTTCACAATAGAATGAACCCACCATAAAGATGGTGCAGTGATTTTATATATTGTCACAGACAGAAGTAACAGTATATAAAAGAATGCCTTCAGAAAAATTAGAAGAAATTACTCTTGTGGCTCTATTTGTTTCCAGCATTTTAACCTACTCTTTAGCTTTAAAAACACAAACTCCCAGAGCTCCCATGAGATTGTTGGGGAGAGGGGAGCTGAGGCAGTTCTTGCCTGCAGGCTTGTAATCTAGAAAATCACACAAAAAGGGGAAAAGTCATGAGAAAAGAAGGGGGAAACAAGCAACTGGAACAAATGCATTCACAACAGTCTACATTTTAATTACTCAAAAACCCAAATGCTCCAGCACGTGTTACATCTTGTGAACACATAGCAATTCTGGATGTTTTGTGTATACTATTACATAATGCCTTTTCTATCTAAACAATATTTTCTGCAAGAGCGAAAACAAAAAATGACAAAATACAGCATGGTCTGGTAGGTAAAGCTTCATGGAAATTTCAGCAGGCGATACTGACAGGACCTGGGTAAAGGTACAACTAGCTTTGTCATGCTTTTCTTGTATGTTTTTCCTTCGTGCTGATTATGTACTAACTGAATAGTGTGACAGGTTTTTGTGAACATGATATACAATGTAAGTAAATTATAGGAAAAAGAACATAAGCCTCAGTAGATATTTCATACATACTTTCCCCTACTGTCTAATCTTTAAAGAAACAAAAAACTGTCTAGCTAGACAGAGAACTGATAGAGCTGCACATCATGGCCTTCAGCAACACTTCTCTGATCCATGCCACTGTATTTGGCATGTTTTCAAATTACAGCAGTAGTGCTTCTTGATAGCTGAGTGACAAAAATAAATCAATGACAACTATCATGAAATGGAAGACCATTACCCTTGTGCCATACTTACTTATCCGATGAGTCTGAACACATCCCAGCAATTTCCAAATCTCTTATGATGTCTGAACTTGAGCTGAAAGGGAAAACAAGACTCGTTGAAAAGTGTCAGGCATTCCAATATGACAGGACAAAAAAAAAGGCAATCCCCACTGCCCCATGCTCCAAACAGGAAAGAACAAGGTGAATTAAAGTAACAATTTAATTATGAGTTCACAGAATATTAGAACAAAGATTTGGTAGCAGTAGAAACAGAATGGCATTCAAAGGCCGGATCTACACTGCTATAAAATGCAGCTTAAGAATGCAGATTAACTGCAATGATCTGGATTATATGGCAATGTAGACTTATATAATGCAGTTCAATGCAGTTAATATGCATTCTGAAATTGCACTATATAATAATGTAGATCCAGCCTAAGTGTGAGGAGGGAGAAATCAGTCAGTTTCTCTCTGATCAGATTTGCAAACTTGTTATTCCTAATTTGCATGTGGAGAGCTGGAGTGTAACTGGGCAACTCCATGTACAAATCCCCATGTGACCCACTTGGTGATTTTGAACAAGTTTCTATCTCTAGGCCAAACTTATCTCTTAGAGATAGAATTGTGAATCCATATGGAATTCCTTGCCTCCCTATTTGAGAGCCATGTGTGACTTAGGGCATTTTATCCTAGCACTTAAGACCTGGCTTTTTACTACAGCATTTGACCCATGTTAATTTTAATATTTGTATGTATGTGTTTTATCCTGTATAATTTCGCCTAGAGCATCTCGGATGGAGGGCGATTAATAAGTAATTAAAAATTATGATGATGATGATGATATATGTGAGGCAGAACCAACTGGAAAGTCCTGTAACTCACCACCAAAAGAAAGAAACAAGAAAGAAAACTATCTTGATAGCCACAAGTAGCCAAGAAGTACTTTATAACTACAGGTAGTCCCTGGGTTACAAACATTTGACTTAATGACTCAGAGTTAAGAATGGGTGATGAGACAACAAGAAATGAGAAAAATCTACCTCTAGGAAGGGAAATTCACTCCTGAAAAAGTTATTATGGGGAAAGGGGGTCTCTCTCCATGGAAGTCTTAGCACCAATCCTAGTTTCCACAACAATACACATTATCCAAAATCCAATTATCACAAGGACAGAAAGTGAATTGAAATCTTCTGAACAGGGGCACAGACAGGAAAACAAACACTACAGAGGTCTTAACCCTTCCCTATGCTGTCCAAAGCTTATATATATGTACGTGTGTATGGCTAGAATTACACTGAAAATGTGTACTGTATTTTCCGCCATACTAGATGACTTTTTAAGCCTGGAAAATCTTATGAAAAGTTGGGGGTCATCTAGTATGCCGGATATAAATTAAAATAATAATAATTAAAACTAACGAATAAAATCTCCCTTAGTGGCGTGGCCTGAGGAAGGAGGGAGGAGGAGTGCGGAGGGAGGGAGGGCATGGGGAGGAGGTGTGGCAGGCTATATTGCCACAGAGACCGGCTGGGGGTGATGACCTGCTGGGCATTCCCTGTGGCTCCTGCTGCTCTCCATGCTCTCCTTTCAAGGACCTCCTCCGCCCTTGCCACTCACCTTCTCCAAAGACCACTGGGCTTGCCTAGGCCCAAGGAAGTGCCTTCGGACGACGACTTCCAGCAGCCCTGGGCGGCAGCTGTAGTTCCCTGACTCCTGCTCCCAGAATGCCTCAGCGAGCACATCCAAGGCACGCTGCCATCCGGGGCTGATGGAAGTTGTCATCCGGAGGCACTTTCTTGGGCCTAGGTAAACCCAGTGGCCTGTACCTCTGTGGAATGAACCAGAAGTCAACTATCTCCCCCCCCCCCCTGCCAGCACAGGTCCCAGCTCTTCCTACCACTACACAACCCCTCAATCCTCTCCCTATTTCACTTTCTCCCTTCTCTACCGACCTATCCAATTTCCCACTTTCCTATAAGTCAGATTGTTTCCCCTCTACCACTGTTATATTTGAAAATTGAACAATAAAAATATTCAAAAAAAAGAAAAGAAAAGAAAGGAGAGTGGCGGGGGCTGCGGGGTCATAATGTTGGAAGAGGGGTAGCCGTAAACATCGAATATATCCCTAAATCTGTATTTTATCTTTAAAAGTTGGGGGTCGTTTTATACCCCCAATCGCCTTGTAGGTCAGAAAGTACCTGTTCCAACTTTCATATAAATTCAACTTAAGAACAAACCTACAGAACCTAGCTTGTTCACAACTTGGGGACTGCCTTTACAATGTCTTGTTGAACTGTTGATTTATGGTTTTTCTGGGTTTTGTTTTATTTCTCCACATTTTTTATGTTACAAACTCCTTTGTTATTTCAGTAGACTTTCAGTGAACTGGTATCCATAGGGATTGGTAGATGCTGGATGAATGTAGTTTCTTGCTGCTTGAAAGTAATTATTAAAAATAGGCCTAACAAATACTATACCCTATACTATACTATATCATTCAGGCCTCTTCAACCTGTGGCCCTCCAGGTGTTTTGGCTTCCAACTCCCAGAATTCCTGACCATTGAAGAAGCTAAGGCTTTGGGGAGTTGGAGGCACACCTCGAGGGCCACAGGTCTACTAGACATAAACTGTCTTAATATTAAGATTTAAATACAATAATTAAAGGCAAATAAAAACAAACTTAACATAATACATGTTTATTGTTTTATTATATTTACTTTATAAAAATAGTTTTTTTAACTTTAAAGTATTATTTCTTTGATTTTTTGGTGGCTGTTTGAAAGTTCCAGTTGTTTGAGTTCCAGTTAACTGAGAGTCTACCATATTTGAAACATGACTGATAGTCCACACAGTGAAGATGTAGATTTTTTTTTACTGTGGCACAAAAGGAAGCTTTTTTATGACAACCTCAAGTAAAGTCTCCTCAGTCTGAGATATTCAGTGAAATGGATTCTAGGGCAATGATAAATGTGTTAAAATATTTAAGGATGTGACAATGATGGGGGGGGGGGGCAGAATTTACTGATGTCAGTTGGATAGTGCTAACAGCAACCTTCTCTGGTACAAACAGAAGACATGAAGGAAGAAGGAAGAAGAAGAAATATAAAGAAAGAAGGCTGGAGAAAAGATGATAAGCTGAGCTTTTTCCAGGTGAATTTTCAATGTAGTTTTTGCAGTAATGGCACAATTTTGATGGCAACACCAAGGCAAAGTAATACAGTAAAAACCACAAGAACTGCTTTGACTATTTATTTGCCACCCCTGAGCTAAGACAACTTGCTGCCAAATATATTTCTTAAAGTTACTTCTAGAGTTCAAAGTAACCATGTCATGTCTTGAGGTTGGGGGGGAAATGTCCAACATACAATAAGGGAAATAAAGTATAGCATAATCCAAGCTAGGAATAGATTCCAACTAATTAGTGAAGTGTTCAGTGAGTTGCACCAAAAGAATATTAACAACAGTTATTCCATGCTGTACATAATAACATTGTTTACATCCTGCCTGTACGCAAAGAGCCTGATAACAAAGCTTTCAATTTCAATTTATGGTGTGTTTTATGGTTCACATATCCAAAACATAAAGCAGAAAAGTGGCTCATTTCATTACTCTTTTCCTTGATGTACTGCCAAATCCTGGCACTTTAAACAACCCTTCACCCATCAACACTCTGTCCCCTCTTATGCAAGATGAACAACTCTAACATTATTCAGTGCAGTATTTCATATTAATGTACTTTTCTCTGATTTTGCAGCTGAGAATGCTGAGAAGGGATTAAGGCACCACTCAAAAATTACACCAGAAATTCAAGTAGAGGGGAGGAGTAAGATAGTGATATCATTTGATTGGATTATGCTCTTTTATATAGTTTGCTTTTTAGTAAAAACAACATTTTAAAATTTGTTGTGAGGTTGTATGTATCCAGTGGTATTGTTCCAGGATCCCCTGTGGATCCCTATTTTCTTGAATACTGAAGTCCTATGATATATATCATGGTAAAATATTAGAGAAGACAGCGGTGCTGGGGAAAATGGAAGAAAAAAGGAAGAGGGGCCGACCAAGGGCAAGATGAATGGATGGTATCCTTGAAGTGACTGGCTTGGCTCTGAAGGAGCTGGGGGAGGTGACGGCTGACAGGAAGCTCTGGTGTGGGATGGTCCATGAGGTCACAAAGAGTCGGAAGCGACTGAACGAATGAACAACAACAACAAAATGTTATACCTTATATATAACATGGCAAAATCAAGATCAGCTTTTGGGATACACACACACACACACACACACTAACTATTACATTATTACATTATTACATTACATTATATGGAGTTTGGTTCCAAAGGTACCAAATCCAAGAAAATAAAAAGAATAAAGAATGAGTTATAGGTGGCAGCACAAAAAAAACCCCACTTTTTTATCCCTCTAAAATTTGTTCAGATGGTTTTGGTATCTTTTGGAAGCAAGCTGCATGTGGATTTTCAAGCTGTGGATGGTCAAATAAATCAATACAGAAACTATGGTTACAAAGGCCTAATTGTATATCTATACAGCAAATTTTATACAATCTGGGAATAGGCTAGAAGTAAATATATATACATGCTGAGGCAACTCCCCAATACCTCAGTTAATGAAGTCTCTGACAAAGAAGACACTTTAAGTCTTTGTATGCTTGCCCTGCTTGCCCTTTTTTTCTCTAGCCAGAATGTATTTAGGAACATTTAATTTTGCAGCATGATCAAAGGGGTAAAGAAATACAATTGTTTAGCATCGAATTGCAGCAGGATGTCTGCAGTAAACACTGCAGAGAAACTCAAGGTGAAAAAGGCGGGTTTCTACTCTAGCCAAACCTACTGTAACTGTGTGTTTCTGTCTATGACAACAACAGCTCCCTCAACAATATATGCAAGAAATGCAAAACGGAGGTGAGGGGGTTGACAAACCTGCCTTCCCAGCTTCCTGCAGTATGTTTAAAAACAACAACAATAATAACAACAACAACACAGACTTGTAGGTTTAGCCACTAAAACTGAAATATATTAAGGTGGAGGCTGATGAAAGGGAAAAAAACGTTCCTGGTACATTTTAGAAGCAGCTTT